AGATGCATGAGTTATGTTTCTCACTCTGCACACTTCCAATTTTGATTATTATTACTTTGCATTCATAATACATTTTTTTAACAGCTGATTCCTTTTTCTGTCTACTTTAACATCATAATTTTTTTTTCCATTTCCCATGTGAGTCTGTTCTTCCATATATGCTTCTTTCACTCATCTTGCGGAATCAGAAATACATACATCTGTGTTCATTGGTTTGGATTTTTTAAGGTACAGATTTGAAGAAGAAAAAAAATCTGCATTGAATATGGAAGTAATATGATCACATAAAAGAAAAAAAAGACATATTTGAAGATAACATAAAATTCGACAAAAAAGATAAAACTGGATAAAACCTCAAGAGAAAGTTTAGCTTTGAACACTAGAATATTGAATAATACTGGAATTGAATAGCAAAGAAATAGCACACAAAAGAGCAAAAAATGATAGAGCAAATAAAAATCAATTGCATTATTGTCTCAGAAAATATGACATCAAAATATCAGATAAAAATTGATTTTAAAAAGGGATGGGCAGTAATTTGGGATCAACATAAAGATAAAGGATGAACATAATTTTTAGAAAACTTCACTGAGAATATTATAGGTGATAAATGAAATTATATTTCTTTGTAACAAACAATGTCTGAGACTGCAGATAAGAAGACTGTTTTATGAGAACCAAACTGAGCAGGAAGTTAGAAACATAATAATCTACAACATTATATACTATAAGCTGCAAGGAGATTACCATATTACCAGACATCAGATTACTGGTAAGGAGATTACCATATTACCAGACATCAGATTACTGGTAAGGAGATTACCATATTACCAGACATCAGATTACTGGTAAGGAGATTACCATATTACCAGACATCAGATTACTGGTAAGGAGATTACCATATTACCAGACATCAGATTACTGGTAAGGAGATTACCATATTACCAGACATCAGATTACTGGTAAGGAGATTACCATATTACCAGACATCAGATTACCGGTAAGGAGATTACCATATTACCAGACATCAGATTACTGGTAAGGAGATTACCATATTACCAGACATCAGATTACTGGTAAGGAGATTACCATATTACCAGACATCAGATTACTGGTAAGGAGATTACCATATTACCAGACATCAGATTACTGGTAAGGAGATTACCATATTACCAGACATCAGATTACTGGTAAGGAGATTACCATATTACCAGACATCAGATTACTGGTAAGGAGATTACCATATTACCAGACATCAGATTACCGGTAAGGAGATTACCATATTACCAGACATCAGATTACCGGTAAGGAGATTACCATATTACCAGACATCAGATTACTGGTAAGGAGATTACCATATTACCAGACATCAGATTACTGGTAAGGAGATTACCATATTACCAGACATCAGATTACTTGTAAGGAGATTACCATATTACCAGACATCAGATTACTGGTAAGGAGATTACCATATTACCAGACATCAGATTACCAGTAAGGAGATTTAACTTAAAAAGAAATTGTAATGTCTCTGACAAAATATATCAAACAATGCAGTGAAAATAAGGCAGAGAAAAATAAACACAATCACAAACACACATGCACACACACACACACACACACACACACAATACTCTTAATTAATTGTAAAGCATAATTCAGCAATACATTAAAAGATCAAAAGTTCTTGCATAGAGGATATGTCATTAAACTGACATTACTGCCTTTATTTATCACTTATGCATTTTTTGTGGCCACATAGGGGATCACACAACTGAAAGAAATTACTGGCTGAGTTCAATCACTAAAAAGCTGTGTAGTACGAATGAACGAACGAACGAACAAACTTTATTTTCAAAGGGTTACAAATTGGGCACGCAGGCCCGTCTGACATTCGGCCCTTCTAAGCACTCCTTTTTCAGAGTACCAATGCCTGTTATCTAAAATGCATGTTATTGATCTATATATATAAAAATCAATGTTTGTGTGTTTGTTTCACCCCTATAGACTCGGAAACTACTGAGCCGATTTAGCTGAAATTTTCAGGATATGTTTGTTGTGATACCGGATTTTGAACTGTCGTGGTCTGAAATTCAACCTGTCACTGTTAGAGATAGGTGATCACAATTTATGCAATAATATACGCAACTAATATTTATAACTTTAGTGATTTCTAATTATAGCCACGTAAGTAATTGCGCATGCGCCGCCGTAGTCAGAACGCAAGGCTTCCGCCATTCGCCGGCGAGTTACGTGCAGCCAACGCCTTCTCTAATACATAGAGTCTAGGTACAGCAAACAAGACTATCTCTATATTTGCCACAATAACCATATTAAACACGATTTCTATTTTCTGTTTTTTTTTTCAAACAACCTTCGATGGGAAGGGGGGGGGGGGGGATCAAGGACATTGACTGCGACATTAACTTCATTAACCGTGTTAGACACGAGGGATTTCTATTGTTGTGCCATTTCATTAATATATCTGGTGTATCTGTCTACAAGAAAACCATTGCCTGCGGTTTTGAATTGTGTTTTAATCAGGACACAGAAGTAGGGACACACATCTCTAATTGTTAAGTTCTCTTTTCCTTTATCCGATTAAGTGGCTGCTTGGTCGAATGGTTAGAACACTGGGTTCTTGTGCGGGAGACCTGGGTTCGAATCCGCAGTAGTTAATTTTTTTTTACCCCGGACTAAAATAATATCCTCATCTGCTCTGTCATGGTGACAGCACTAACCATGTTGCCTTAAAAAAAAAAGACAAGTAAATGGGTAAACCATTTGATAATTAAATTTGACCATTTCGCATACTTATGATTGCATTATTAAACTTTCCGATTGCATGGTTACGCTGAAATTTTTATAGATTTTCATTTATTTTCATTTAGATTTAGTCATTTCATCTGCGTTGGAATTTTAAGCTGTGCTGTTTACCATGGCGTTCATTTAATAATTATGGTTTTTTTTTTTTTTTTTTGCTGTGTTCATTTGCTTTTCAAGTGTTTTTTTTTCTCCCAACTACTTCAATGACGAAAAGAGTTGTCGGTGAATTTGGGGGGTGGGGGGGGGGCAAACTATTTACTGAGAGAGCTTTAAGTCACAGTAACTGCTTTACCCACTTAAAGTAGCAGCAGTAGTTATAGTTGTGGTTGGGCTGTTACACCATAGTGCTCTCATGTGAAGACCGCCGGTAAGGTTATGGCGTTCTTCTGTCGGCAAGTGAAATTATACATCCTAACCTGACCAGTCTGTGGCGACAGCACTAGCCATGCGGAACCAAATCTTCTGGCTCACGACTCTCTGTCTACTCCGATGGTAACACAGATAGCAGTGACATTATTTTAGTAGTTGTACTGGTACTTGAAGGATGATGTGGTAAATATTACACTAGCCCCATTCACTACCTATTACCATTCCTGCTCCCCATTTTAGTCCAGATGGACAGGGATGTCAATGTCAGTTACAGCAACAACAAAATATCGCCAGGTAATGATTTTCAAATATTTCGAAGAGGGAGAAAGCAGTAGTCGGTGGAAGAGGGGAGAGGAGGGGGGGGGGGGGGTGGGTAATGACATAAATTTGATAAGGGGGAGAGTAGTAGGTGGATTTAGTTGGGGGTGGGGGGTGGTGGGGTGGGAATCAAAGACTATCTCTATATCTGAGCAGACAATGATTGTATTAGACACGTGCGATTTCTATTTTCTTTCATTTACATTTAGCCAAACTATGCCACAGCAACGCGTGGCCGGGTACAGCTAGTATAGAATAAAAATGTACATTATAGAATATAATACATACATCATGTGTACACAGTCCTACACACATGTAGAGGAGTAGTTAGAATGCCAGTCTGCCTGTCAGATTTTCATAAATGTAAATCCCCATCTAAGTGGATTTGATAAAATAAAACCCCACAAACTTCCAGATAATTGCAGCTTAAAATTGGTAGTAGTCAGTAGCATGTCCCTTGCAGAAACTTGCTTCCATAACAACCCTCCAGAAATCATCTCGATCACAAGCAAGATACAGCCATCTGGAGATCATCCGCCACATACTGCCCCCGTCTTCTCTTTGGCCTTCTTCCTCCTCTTTTTACAGGGATATGACCCTCCATGATTGTTCTCTCTAAACTTTCATGATGTTTCAAGTGATTAAAATATTTCAATTTTCTGTGTTATAACATCTTTATAGCCAACCTTCTTTGAAATTCAGTTCTTGAAGTATCAATGCATTTGTTCTTTTCTTCATCCATATTTTTAAAACTCATCTATCAAATTAGATGTGTGTGTGTGTATGTGTGTGTATGTGTGTGTGTGTGTGCACACGTGCGCACATGCCTGCATGTTTGTGTGTATGTGTATCTATCTATGTATATATATATATATATATATATATATATATATATATATATATATATATATATATATATATATATATATATATATATATATATATATATATATATATATATATATACACACACATATATATATATTGCAACTTAGAAAGGGTTTTAAAAAACTTACTGAAATAAATTTTGAATGTTACTTTCAGCACATACTTTTTTGTTGTTGTTGTGATGAGGCCCATTGATTAATGCCAAAAAACAAATTAGTGAAAACTTTGCAAAGCAATCTTTAATGTCAAATTTCTGTATGATTTTTCCAGGTAACATTTAATTCTTGGGTTCCTTTCATTTTAATGTATATTTTGTGTGTATATATATATATATATATATATATATATATATATATATATATATATATATATATATATATATATATATATATATATGTGTGTGTGTGTGTGTGTGTGTGTGTGTGTGCGTATATATATATATATATATTATTATTATATATATATATATATATATATATGTGTGTGTGTGTGTGTGTATATATATATATTTTTAAATTTTTATTTTTTTAAAGATGGCTGTTATTCCACAAGACTGGCTTTCTAACCTCTTATCATGGAGAAGATTTCTACTGAACAACATGGTTTCAGATCTTAATTCTGTACCTGACAGGAAAACAAGGTGCAGTAAAATAGTTTGGTTCTATTTTTTGTACCCTTAAGAAAATAAAACCATATGTTGAGTGTTAAATTTGTCTACCTCTTTAGTTTTATTTGATTTCCTTTGTTTGAATTCACATAGTTATGCCTCATTCCAGATTAGAAAGATGATAAACAATTATTCTGTGGTATTTTAAGACTGACCTTTATAGAAAAAACATTTCTTTACTTCTTTTTTATTTTTGTTTACTGGTATACTTCTCATCCTAATATCCTTCCCTCTCTACTTTTACTTATATTTTAACACATGACAACAAATAATTTCTATGAAAAGCTTATCAGTGTCATATTTTCATGCCTCAAAGTATTTTATAGTGTTTACTACAAGTCCTGTCTGTATCTGTCTTCTTCATGCTTACATGTTCAGTTTACTTACTTATTCTTTAACTTACAAACATAAACAGTTTTACCTTTTATCAAACATACAAGTACACTGTCTATTTTCTTTTACAATTATTTTTTACCTTTCTTTATGAATACAAGCAAATGTGTTTTCACTTTTGTCAAGCGTCCGAAATAAATTTTGATTCATCTATCTCCAGCTACTTCAATCTTTCTCAAACTTGTAAGCACAATCTGCATTTATCTATCTTAACCTTACAATTCTAATCTATATCTAGCGTACCGCGATCAAAACCCACTTCTGGCTGCAGGTTGACCCAGCCTAAAATGATACCAGGATGGATGTCCTGGGGAAGTAAAGATGGTAGGCATATTGCTGACCACATTATTGGTCTGTAAAAATACGGGGTGCTCTTCCTAAATGCCCAATGCACCCAAGGCATGAAAATGGATCTTTACTTAACTTTACTTTTATGTCAAATCTTATAAGTAAATACTTTTTGTCTTATCCTAATAAACACAACTTGTGTTTAGTTTCGTAAGTTTATCAAACACTGAACAAATTTAATTTATGTTTGCCTTTATCAATTTTAACAAACACTGTCTCTCTACTTCCTTTAATCTTCAAGCACAGTGTGAGTTTGCCTTTCAGCAACATAGTCTCATTTCACTCATCTTTAGATATACATATTATTCATGCACATATCTCTTTGAATTCTTTAAATTTGCCAAATGATCCATGTTATATTTTAACCCAATTTTTGATTATAACTCTTATTTTATCAGTGTTTAATTATCCAAAGACTGGTTTTTAAAAGAAACAAATGTAGTGAGAAGGACTTGTGATTTTCAAGGAAAATGCAAAGAATAACATAAAGTAGAGGGAAACAAATTAAATAGTCCTTTAAAAATAAAAGATGAACACTGTAAACTGATAAGCAGATTTAATTGTAGACAGTTATGTTTGGGTTGTGAAAACTGTGACAACTTGTTACTTATTTATTGAGAAAAATAAAAGAGATTCCAAAATATAATTACTAGGATAACTTGGCCACCTGGCATTATCAGAACAAATAAGATAGACATGACCTGAGACTGGTGACCATGCCTGTCTTTTCTTTTTTCTACCCCTTGCTGCTACCTGATAATATGGCCACCACTGTGACTTCAAGAGTGGTATCCTCAATGGCAATCCAACAGGGCATACCCAAAATACCCTGTGCAGTCTACTGTGATAGTTTTACAAAGTGGTGTACCATGAAGTCATTTGTGCATAAGGGATCAGTAATCAGTTAACCATGCTATCAGCATAAACATTGATATACATAGTTTTTGTTAAAAATGCAACATTACATTTCAATAATAAAACATTTTTTCCCTTAAAATAATGTGTATTTTATTTGAATCTGTATGTTCCTCAACAATCTAGCTGGTTGAGACCGCCAGTCACAGTCAATGCTTATTACTCACCAACAAGAAATGATGTCATTTTCCCCATTGCAATGTTTCATCTGCCATTTTACATTCCAGACGGACCAAGGTTAGTTTAGGAACAGATTGTTTCATTTCTTTCTCTCAGGGCCCACACTGCTTTGCTGGGAGAGTTCTTTTTTGATTTGTAAATAATTTTCAACTTTATGCTCTGAGTAAACATTACTAGCAAATATCAACTAATAAAAAATATAAGCAAGACAAAAATCATGGATACTGTAAAAGACAATCAGTTTGAATTCCCAGCTATAGCAATGGACTATGCCTCACTGATGACTAAATCAAAGAAGCTCTCAATAAATAATGGATGTGTTAGCATCCTGTCATCAAACAAGCACTGAAATAGGAAATAAAATGATTGAGCAGACTGAACAGGATAGAATGGAATAAAGGCATAAACCATGAGCCTTTTTTGATATATAATGAAAAAACAGGATGATGATGATGATGTTTAGTATCCTACCACAGATAACAAATTTATTTCTTTGGCTGTGAAGACTGGAGAAGACTAAGATTTTATCCTTAAGTCTGGAGCATAGACACTCAGTTTGTTTAAGCCTTGAAAAATGTATACATCTATGTGAAAGGTCACTGCCAACAGCAGATTGAATGTGGTCAATTTTTTTTCTTTAGAACAGGCTACTGGAAAGAGGCAGGCACAAAGAGACAAGAAGCACTAGCAAAGAAGTTCTAAGAGTTGTACATGTTAAACCTAATGGGGCATCGTAACCCACAATTAAAACAGGGTGATCTCATAACTACATAAATTGCTTTTCTGTATCAACTGCCAAAGGCAGTCAGTTTTGTTTTTCTTCACTTCAGCACCAGTATATTTTTGCCACTTTTATCGTTGTTCTAAAGTGTCTATATTTGTCACTATTTCATGGCATTTTGTTTATTCTATTCTGTGCAGGCATCCCTTGATTTATGTACCTTGTTACTAGTTGTTTTTGGTCATTCTTCCTGTTTAATCTCTTTGCAGCAGTCTTAATTTACTCTTAAAGAGTAAAATATTCTCTGTTTAAAAATAGGCTTAATATGGATTGATTTCCATAAACTTCGGGGTGATCTGAAAACTACTCTTGCCTTGTTACATTTTTTTTTAAATATTTCTATGATACTGGACCCTGCAATAATAAAGAAACAATGTGGTTTTACAGACTAGTAACCTACTTTACACATGTAATTGAACAGCCACAAAGCTGCTGTAAACAAAATGTAACAGCATAAAGAGTGAAGTGAATCGAGAGGTGAGGGCGATAAAGGGTTGCTGTATAGGATATGCATTTAAGAAATGTAATAATAGTATATATAGAATGTTCTTTCATTCAAACCAGCAGCGCAAAAGAATAACTAAGAAGCCAGAAAGAAAACTTACAGTGAGGATAATTAGAAAAAAACAAAGAGAATAATAATTGGGGTTGAGGGTGTTGGCTCTATATGAAGCCTCTTTAAACCTGCTTGTAACTTTAGCTATGTTTGGCAGTTATGAAGGCAATTCTCGAAATCTATTTATGTTCATAACAGAATATGTTAAGCATGTCCTTTAGATAATAGTGAAGATCACATTGTGCTTTCCATCAAAGAGTATATTTAAGGCTTTCTTGTCAACAAGTAATAATTTTCTAAATAAATAAACTAAACTAATTAACCAGTTTAATTAGCTGAGTGAGAATCTACACATGTTCTCTTTTCAGTGCCGTTAACTTTGGAGCTATGGGCTCAATAATTGGACATGAGATTACACATGCTTTTGACTTGCAAGGTAAATCATTCGGTAACTTATGTGTTGTTATGAAAGTTAGGGGTATTTTGAACCAGGCAGATTCTGGGTGGGAACAAGAGAATAAGTCACAGTGCATCTACCTAAGAGGTGAGGAACCAACAGTCTGCATAAAATAAGTCAGATCTCTAAAACCAGTGTACATGCAGCAGTCAGGTTATGGAACAAGAATTAAACCCAGAGTTGGACGAACAAGCAGAACTTTCTGCCAGAGTTTATGGCTGGTGAATGCGGAGAAGAAAAAAGATATGTGTTCAAAACAATAGTAAATTTTCTGCTGCTGTTTCTCTACTAACTGCAGTTGTTCTGCTGCCTTGTCTTCGCTGAATGAATGAATCAAGAATATAAATACCTACACTTGGGGTATTGTAACGTGTGCTCTGTCTCCTTTCTCAGAGCCAGTGATGAGTTCTCATACTGAACTTTTTTGGTAGAGAACAAATCAAATGGTTTGGCATCAGACAGGGCACCTCAGAGAGCACAGTTTTACAGATAATACAGTAACAGAACCAAAGGTCGACCACACAGAAGGTAGGCTGCTAAAATATGAGAGACACTGAAAAGTGCTTTTTACAAAATGAACAGAAGGGCTGGTTCCAGAGATGTCTTCCTGCCCTGACGCATGAGGCATTGCAGGAGTAGAGAACAGAAGAGGCAGTTGCAGACTGATTACAGTTTCACTTGTCATGTCCTCTGTGTGTTGAACAACTATCAAGACCCTCAGCTCACTCACCACTGCATTGAGATATGGATATTCTATACCCCTGCAGTGTCTGCTTCATCCCAGAAAGCCGTTGACAGATCTGTTTTATTATAAACTAGCCCATCACACAGAAGCCTGCTTATCAGCCTGCTTATTACCCAGCACACCATAATGTCATGGACAGAAAATCCATCATGGACAAAAAATCCATCATATGCTCCTGATCTGAGTCTTCTTCACTTTCTGATACAACTGCTTTTTCATCTTTTTTTTTTAAACTTCTCATCTTTCATCATATCCTTCTTTGTCCTCTTTCTCCTTCCTCATTTTATTCTACTGCTGCTGTTTCTTGTATATTTTTCTAACTATCAAATCATTTACAATGAAATCACACCAAAGTTTCCATCTATTATTTATTTTGTCATCATACACTTTCTTTACCATGTCATTTCAGGGCGCCAGTATGATGGTCAAGGCAAGTTGTCTGATTGGTGGAACGAACAGACTGTTCAAAACTTCCTGTTGACAACAACTTGTATGAAAGACCAGTATAGCAACATCAAGATAAGGGGGGTCAAGGTGAGAATTTACCAGTTTGAACTACAGTAAGCACTAATACATGCTTATATTTGTTATTATTAAACATTGCTTTCCTGATGTAATTATTTTTGTACCTTACACTTATTTTATATATATATATATATATATATATATATAGAAGCTTCACTTATACTGAAGGTGAAGTTTTACAATTTTTATTTCATATGCATAAAAAAAGAAGTAGTGCTGCTCACGTTTTCAGGCCCAGGATTAGAGTAGCTTCCCTTGCCATTCATGCCTTTTTAGGTCACTGGACCTCTCCTATGTTGCGGGGAAGTCATGTTTTCCTTATTGTGAACGGTTTAACTGTTGCCTCTTTTCTCATCCTCTCACCGCTCGTTTGTTTGATTATATTCACATTCTGCTACATGTGCTGGAAACAGCAAGATTTTTCTATTTCTACGCTCCTTGTAACTGCTTTCTTTCTCTCAGGAAGGGGAGGGGGTGAAGGAGCCACTGCCAACGAACGTGAAAATACAAAAATATCCCAGTTTCGATAGCCAAGAATCCACGCGCCTGCTGCACTTTCCCCTGCAGTTCTTTTTACTTGTACACAGGAGCCTGCAGCGCCTGAAATAGACTCACAACCTCCCACAAATATTTGGCGAACGCCAAACCAAGCCATATCATAACACCCCCCCCCTACCCTCGCAACATAGGAGAGGTCCATCGACCTAAGGAGGCAAGGGAAGCTACTCTAATCCTTGGCCTGGATACATGAAAAAAAGTATATCAGTATTAAATTTTTGTTCCTGCATAGTTGTTAAATCTTTACTTTACTTATCATCCTCATTATTCATTACATACTGGCATATCTAATCATCACTAAGAAGATTAATTTGATTGTTTTAAATTATAACATTATAAATAAGATAAATGCCTGACAAAAATGACTATTCTATATATAAAGTTGTGAAAAATACACTGAAAATACAAATAGGATTATATATACCAATTATAACCTGAGGGTTGAGTATGGCATTATTTGTAGGAAAAATAATTGCTGTTTTATTTACTCTAATTTTTTTAATTATTGTATTTTAATCAATACAAATCTGTAATCTTGAAACAGTATTTCTAAATAAATATAGATTAATATTTTCTTTCTACCTACAGATTGATGGCAATTTTACCCTGGATGAAAACATTGCAGACAACAGTGGGCTAAGAGCAGCTATGTATGTAAGTGTTGAGATGGAAAAAAGAAAACATGCACAATCAAATGAGTATTTTATTTTTATGAAATGATATTTTAATTGTATGTATTCATGAATAGTAATCCAGGTGTTTTGAATGATGCTGACCAGACGAAAACTTATCCCAAACATCAGAAAGTGGCAAACATCATTTTTGGTGACATTATTAGCAGAGAAAAAAACTGGAACATTTGACAGCTAGAAATATTTAGGTAGGCAACAGCCATGATGTCTAAGCTAAATACGACGTGGAAGAGCAAAATCTGCATGTCAGTCAAGGTCAATATTTACAAATCACTGGTATTGTCTGTTTTCTTATATGACTGTGAGAGTTCGACTCTCACTATGGAAATGAAAAGGAGAATTCAGGCTTTCGAATATAAAAGCTACAGACACATTTAATGAATTAGTTATTTAGAACACAAAAATAATAAATATGTCAGAGACAAAATATACAAATTTGATGGACTTCAGGAGCCTCTCTTAGCAGTGGTGAAACATCACAAGCTAGCTTGGTTTGGGCACATGATTCGACTGCAAAGACTGTACTTCAAGGAACATTGGGGGCCAATCGAAGAAGAGGAGGACAAAGAAGGACCTGGAATGACAACATCAAGAAATGGACAGGACTTATTCATCAAGCGGAAGACAGAGAAAGTTCGTGGGTTTTGCTAGTGCTTCCATCCATACACCTCCATGACCCTAATGGGTCAAGGTTTATGTTATATTATCTATTTAGGTAAAGAGAGACGGAGAGCTGGAGAATATTCATGACAGCCTTTTGCCATGACCTGGAAATGTATCATCACATGAACTGTTACAAGCTGTTGGGAGATTTTAGGATGTGGAGAGGCATGATTGAACACACCATGTGAAACACATCTAAAATTTTAGATATTTATGAATTGTTAACAAAAGCAAAACCCTCAACAAGTGGTGACAGGTTTTTGGTGCTGTATCCTACGTTATTGCATCGCCCCCTCCCCTCCATTCCCCCCCCCCCCCTTTTCTTAAGATGAAGACATAGCTTTCTTTAGTGAATATAATATGTTGTAGCTAGCACAAAGCTAAACTCCACCTGTTTTTTCATGTATTTGAATCTTATACAGTAAGGCCTCATTCACAAAAACTGAAAAAAAAATGAAGAGTTTATATTTAAAACAAATATATATGATGAAAGATTTTGCATCATTAGACTTTATCCTACTGATAGCCAGAGGATTGTTGATGAAACATCTGCAAGGTCATAGAACTGGAGAAACAAAGTGTTGGGTAATATCATGGAGGCATAGGACACAGGATGTAACATAGGTCAAGTGGAAGCTCACAGGATTATGAGAAAGTCTAAAACATAATAGAATAATTTTTCTTTTTTTAAATGTGCGCTTCAAACCATTGAAAGAAATACCTATCAGAGCTCTCTCTCTCTTTCTCTCTTTCTCTCTCTCTCTCTCTCTCTCTCTCTCTCTCTCTCTCTCTCTCTCTCTCTTTCTCTCTCTCTCTCTCTCAACCTCTCTCTCCCCCCCCCCCCCACCCTTCTCTATCTCTTTCAGCAACAGGCTGATAAAGTTAAGTTTTAAATGACAAGTCAGATCTCTCTCTCTCTCTCTCTCTCCTCTATCTCTTTGATAGATGTCTGATGGCTGAATGGTAGCATAGCGTGTCCTGGGAAAGTAAAACAGTGAGATATTGTATTCACAAAATTCATCAAATACCACTTAGTCTTTAAAAATATGGGACTTTCACCATATGCCCAGTGTCCTTTAAGTATGGGAAAGGGACTTTTACTTTATTTGCTTTCTAGTACTATATATACTTAACTCTTTGAGTCCCAGGGGTTTAGCATCACAACCCCAGGGGGTAGTAAAGAACGTAATAAATCGGTGCATCATGCGTTCATTGGGCTTTTAGATAGGAACCTATGAACGTATATTGCGTTTCTTGGAACTCAAAGAGTTGATGAACACTTGAAAAAATTATTAGCACTTAGCATAAATTTTTTTTCTGCTTTATTGACAGGCCTACCAGATGTGGATAGAAGAGTTTGGTGAAGAATTACAGCTTCCTGGTGTTAATATGAGCATGTATCAGGTGTTTTATACAAGCTTCGCTCAGGTAATCTTCTTTTATAATTCATCATCATCATGCAGCAAGTCTTTAAAAAATGGTTAGCCTCATTATAGCATATTGAAAAAGCTATCAGTGATTTGCAAAGTTCTCTGTCTCATGCCTGTAATGTTCTGTATTCGCTATTGTTTAGTTTATAAAAGTAGCAGAAATGACTATTTAAGTAATGCCTATTTGTATTACTTAAATAGTCATTTCTGGTTGGGACATATTGAAAAAATGTTAGATGATAGAGAAGTAAAAACTGTATACACAAGGTAGATGAATGGTTGTAGACCATGAGGTAGACCAAGAAGACAATGAAGAGATAATGTCCAGACAGACCTGCAAACACTTGGTGTCACCAACTGGAAAGAGAAGGCCAACCAGAGAGATGAATGGAGGTGGGTGGTGGGTGATATCTGCAATAATGAACCTCAAGAAGAAGAAGAAGAAGAAATAATTATTAGCACAAATGTATATCCAATTAACATTATTTTACAAAATTCTTCTTTTCGCTTCCTGCTTTAGTTTTGGTTGTTGAGGGAGATATAAGGCCCTGCTTCTTGCTCTTCTAGTAACCTTCACCACAGACACATAGTACTTGTGTAAGAGTTTCAGTGATCTTTGCATCCCTTGTTCTTGATGTCTCTCTCCTCTTTTGATGGATGTCTTGTATTTAGCATTAATGAATGTTGAATTAAGAATCAACATCAAAGCAGTCAGGACACTCCCAAAAGCCTTTTGGTCCTATCTTCAGCTGCAAATTAGGAGTTCCAATTCTGAAAGTACACGTAACTGTATGATTGTACATCCATCTCACCTTTCCCTTGAGTGTGGAGCATCAGCTAGATTCCCTGGTAACTCCCTGCAGCACCATTCTCCTCAGACTGTAATGATCTATTTATGCCTCCACACTGTTCTCTCACTGCCAAAGGGGGCCCTGACAACATTTAGCTTGTGCAGAACCCCAGCTAGTCTACCTGCCTGCTCATTTCCCTACACACCGGTATGATCTAGAGAAAATATCCAAAGGATGCGAAATATCCATTAGTGACTATTCAAGTAACAAATAATTACTTAGTATCTCAGCTGACTAACTGAAAAATCAAAATTACTTTTTACATATCACACATAATTATTTTAAAATCACTAATGCCTGTTTTAAAAATAATTTTTTTTTTAAGCAGCGTAAATTACATTTCAGTGATACATATTTTAATATGATTTTATATTGCTGGTTCCATATACCTCTGCAAAGACCAGGTCCAATGCTGTTATTCTACTGTTTGTATTTCTTCTCTGTGATGCTTCTTTTAGTTTTTGGTGCAAAATAATTGCTATTCTAGACACATCCAGTCCATATATTTAATCCCCCCCCCCCCCATTGTTACTCTAGCTGCCATCTCTTTTGTCTGTGTTGTTCTGTAGGGCAGGTTAAATTATCAGTCTTGTTTTTAGCCTTTTTTAGCCTTGGTTCGCAGTGGTCTAGGAGGGAAGGAGACTCTGACAGGTAGACAAAGCACTCGTTTTCTGATCTTGCATCTTCCGCAGCATGCTTTTTCCAAAATGTATTGGGGTTAGTTTTCCTCTGGAGTCAACAAGGCACATAAAGAGAAGAATCATACTGCATGGGATTGATCTCTACTATACTGTCTGGACTTTGTTATGTGGAGATGTGAACTTCATAATAATTTACAATGGCTTGTGACAGCAAGCCTTTATGTAGCACAGTATAACACTATTGTCTAGAAACAAGGAAAGATGCAATCAAGCTTACCTGTGTTTTACACCAGAAGGAGAAATAAATAATTAAATAAATTTTGCTGGTAAAGAAAAGGTAATCTGTACTTAGCATGCTGCATTTGTCTGTTAGGACTTCATTCTCAGCACTCTGCTTTATGACAGTGTAACTTGGTCAACTTATTCACACCAGGAGCAATGGCTAAAAAGCTTCCGCATGTGATGCCTAAGAGAAATACTAGGCATTATGTGGCAGGTTAAGATTACAACACACTAAGGTATTGGAAAGAGCAGGCATTACTACAGTCTTCTCAATGCTCAGTCTACAAAGGCTCAGGTGGCTTGGTCACACCTGGAGAAATGAGGATGGCAAAATTAAAGACATGTAGAAGATACCAAGGTTGCCCTCTACTATGATATAAAGATGTGTGCAAATGGGACATGAATAATAGAGGTATTGGGGTAAACTCACTGAAACAAAATGTCAAGGACTGTATTGTGTGGAGGGGGTACATTAGGAAGGGAATAAGAATGCAGAAAGAAATTATTGCAGAACTGATGGCAGTCCCTTGCCTCCTCACAGTGCAATATGACACTATCATCTGGAAAGACTAAAAGGTGGCTTCTGCTTAAGCCATCAATGTAACCTTCTCAATGGCAGTCGTATACTGAGTTTTTCTCTGTTACTTGTATTACATCCATCCTACCTTTAGCACTAAAGATTTTGAGAATTTATATCTATCAACCAACCAGAGGTCAGATAACAAACTCACAATCCGGTTTTATATATGTAGATCAGTTACATCAGTGTTTAAATCACTAATGCAGTTAAATACCTTATTTTATTCTTATTTCAGATGTACTGCAGCAAATGGACAGATTATGGTCTGTTTTACCATCTCCTAACAGATCCACACAGTCCAGGATCAGCCAGGTAAAACATATGTTTGTTTGCACCGTGCACATGTGCAGGCACGTGTGCTAGTATTTACTTATTGTGCATGCCAAATGACGTTTTCAGCTGTATGTTTTGCCAGAGTGTTAGTTTTGCAGATGTATACACCTAGAATTTGTGAAGTTGCTGATATTTTTCAAATAATATTAGGTAAAGTAAGTAAAGAACCTTTTCACTTCATTGGTCCAAAAAGCATTAAAGGCTAGTCCCATATTTTATGAAACATTCAGGATTCCATGGGTGGTGGGATCAACATTATAATGGTCATCTTTACTTCTCATTTCCTGTAGCCAGGGCTTTATTATAGGGAAAGATGTCTGAAAAGAAAAGGTGCCAGTACATACCACAAGATGTCTACTACGGTAGTGCTTTAAAAAAAAAGAAGAACTGGATGACCTAAAAAAAAAAACAGGTGCTGACACTCTGTACCTTCAGAAAAAAGTCCTGTTCCTACCTATTTTAGCCTGGGGCAATTAAAGAGCTCTGGGATAATTATAAAAATAAGACTCGCTATAGACCCAAGACCTCCGGGTTGGCAGGGAGGTGAAAAAAAAATAGTTCAACTTTAAAGCTCCTATAGTCTTAAACTCTGAAAAAAAACTTTCTAGAAGAGCAACAAAATAGTTTCTCTCAGAGAACATTATAAAAGAATAAAAAATTGGGCACTGCATCACAACTTGTTTCATTTGTAGTTTATTTTATTTTGTGTGTGTTTATTTTTCATTTATTATAAATGACACACATGCACACAAATATACATATAAAAAGTTAGCTATGTATCCTTTACAAGATGTTGCAGAACCAACCCCAGCATTTGTTGCTTGCTGTCTGTGATTTTAACAAGGCAATTTTACTATTACCACTCTGCCTTTGAGAATCGCTATGGTGTAGTGGCTAGATGCAGGTCTGCGGATCTAAAGGTTGTGGGTTCAGGTCCTGACAGAACCGGACTTTTTTTTCAAAACTGACCTTGGCTCCCAGGTCGACCCAGCCTTGAGAGGGTACCAGATTCAGTCCTGGGAAGTAAAGGCAGCCAGCATGATTCTGACCATATATCCCACAAAGTTCAGATTGATCTGTAAAATATAGGTCTAGCCCTGTATGCCCTGTATGCCTAAAGGTGTGGACAAGGATCCTTTACTTTCCCTACTTTGTTGTTGCTCTCTCAATGGCAGGCAGTCTGCTGTCAGATCACTCCTCAGTCAGGATCAAACCTGCTACCTTCGAATTATGAAGTGTGTTCACAACGTCTGAGCCATGGATGCAAATATACGTATACAAGTTTGTGCACAAACTAATAAACTCACACATACATACACACATGTATATGAACATATACATACATGTACATACACACAAACATAACACACATGAATACCACCATGCGCGTGCAGATCAATTGCGCACAAACACACACATACCCAGACATGCATTCGTGCTCACTATAAATAAATGAATAACATGATGGTTCTTACTTTTTTCAAAAATGACTGTGCCCCCCCAGGTCACCCAGCCTTAAGTGGGTACCAGGTACAAGTCCTGGGAAGTAAAGGCGTCCAGCATGATGCTGACCACATCACCCACTGAGAGCTAATTGGTCAATAAAAAAAAGGTCTAGCCCTGTATACCCAATGTATCTGAAGGCATGGAAAAAGGTCCTTTACTTTACTGACTTTGCTTTGATGGTTCTTAATTTTTCAGAGTGAATGGAGCTCTTTCAAACAGTCAGACATTCAGCTGGACATTTCAGTGTCCGCTAGACAGCAAGATGAATCCTCGAGTTAAGTGTGAAGTTTGGTGATAATTCAGACCCCAATACTCAGTATATAAAACATATACCTTCCTGAGTTGTGAACTATGTGACAAATGTCAAGCCTTGATGAATGTTACACAATATGCAGCCAAACAAAATAAAACACTTTAGATTATTCTAGACAATGAAACTGTCTTTGAAATATTTATGCCTAATGAAATACATTTCTTTTTTAATGATTATAAACATGTTTTTAATGGAGTGAGAAAAGGAGGACATCTATGAGAAACTCTGATAGAATCATAGTTATGAGAGGCCAAAGGTCATGGACTAGATTCTGTCTTTGATAATGAAAGGATTACACAAGATAAAACTGAATGAAGGACTAGACTGAAAGCCCTATGTGATGTATAATGACACAGTAAGATGATGGTTGTTACTGTTGGCTAGTAAGTTGATCAAGTGGGTCAGCTTATTGTCTACTAAGCCACCAACCAGGTATGTGATGACAACTGGTGTGATTTACTTTACTGAACTTCTCATGACCCTTACTTATTCTTAGTCGAGGTACAACTTTTCTGCAATTGGGTCACGCACGGTAAGGTGACTATACACAAGTAGAATTATTACATTAGGTATGTCACCAGCCTACATATAAAAAGGCTTCCGGCAATATTGATTACCATGACTCAAAGTTGCACAAATGAAAGGCATTCCAGATGAAGAAAAAAAAAACACAGATCACAGGGCTGTACCAGGCACTAAACTCAGTAGCTCTGACAACATAACCTCGAAGCTTAATATTATGCCATGCCTAGTCCTCAATTTAAGACCTCCATCTCATGACCCAACAGTTCCTACACTAACCCATGCTGTCCTTATTATTACTTAAACTATTTCTGTCTCGAGTGTCATTATAACTTTCCAGACCTAACGTTGTTCAGATGAAGTTACTTCTTCTTTGACTAGAATGAATTAATATTAGAGGGAGCCATGTTAGCAGAGTGACTAGACTCTCATTTTTCCAGGTCAAACGTCTTGGCCTTGAGACTGATGTTTTTTTTTCAAGACTTATCACAGCTCCCAGATCCACAATCTAAAACGTGTACCAGATGTTCTCCTGAGAATTAAAGAAGGCCAGCATGATGTTAACCACATCACCCTTCTGAGTGCTTGGTGGTCCCCAAAAAATGTGGCATCATATGCCCGGTGCCCCACTGCTGTAAGATGGATCCTTTACTTACTTATTGAAGTAACACCTGCTTGATACTAAAAAGTTAAATACTGCAGTGGTTTAAAAAAAAATGGAAAAGTGATGGAAAGTAAATTTCTGGGAAACCGTGGCAAGGATTGACCAACAAAAATACACGAGGACGGAATTTTCTAGGAGACTTTCTGCAGGTCATGATAGAAGCAGTGATCTGCAATAGATCAGCTACATGATAACGATGATCATTAAATTGATTACTAAATATTATAGTCGTCTATGATGATCATAAAATTGATTACTAAATATTTTAGTTGTCTATGATGATCATAAAATTGATTACTAAATATTTTAGTTGCCTATGATGATCATGAAATTGATTACCAAACATTTCAATTTTCTTTGACCACAAATAGGAAATTATGAAACCCCATCTTTATTTTTGTGTGTGTTAAATTAAGATCCATGTCTGATTTTCTTATTTTGACCTTGTTTAACTATCCACCAAAAAAAACAAAAAACTGTCGCTCCAACTCTGGGACTGCTATCTGAAGATTAGACATCATATTTTTAATGGTAATCCCACAGGAACGATCCCAGATGTAACTGGGGCACACCAAGTAAATTCTTCTGCTTCCTGCTGTCCTAGATTTGCAATTTTTTGTGTGTGTTTTCAAACCTGGGTTGGTACCCTTAAAGCCAACACAACATCCTGATGACCCAATCCACCCCAAGCACCATACATGTGCAACAGAAACCACCTGTCTATTTTTTTTTTTGTTATTGAGTTTACAGGTGGATTTCTCCCAGTTGTACATTTCGTTTGGGAGCCTCTTCTAGTCTACTTTTGTCACTTTTGAGTTAAATATATGATTTATTTACATTGTTGGTGCATTATGTTCCTGATGCTGTTGAATAAATGCAAACATATTTTTGTTGTATTCAATTTCTTATACATTTTGTGTTTACAAGAAAGGCGCCTCTGTGGTAAAACAATACACACACCAACTTAGATATATTGCTGTGTGGAGCTGTTTGAAATAGTCTTGTGATGTGTCACATTGGTCTTTGGTAATGGAAGATTGTATCTGTGTATGTATGCTGCGGATAGAAGATCACTGTAATTTTTCAATTTAGATTTTTGTGTATAACAAAAAAATCATTGAATGATGATATTGATAAGTATAAAGTACAGTTGCACAAGTTCGCAACAAATAAATTTTTGTCATGAATGTATCTTATGTTTGTGAATGATACTCTTTACTTAATGCTATAGACATTGTATAAATATATTGTAATTCTTTGTATGTTTGTACTTAGGTATGTATGTACACATACACATACACAGACACATACATAAAAGTTACTTGTGTATCTTTCACAGCATGTTGCAGAACCAACCCCAGCATTTGTTGACTGTTATGGCTTTTCTAGGCAAATTTACATTTAGTAGTTTGTCCTTACTTCTGAACAGTCAGTTCTCGGTAACACTGTCGAAACCAACACAGACAAATCGTCCACAGCTTGGATCAAACCTGGTACCTCAGCATGACAAAGTGCATTCCCAACACCTAAGCCACAGATGTCGACATACATGCATACATAAATACATACATACATACAAGCATACAAGCATACATACATACATACAAGCATATAAAACTATGGCATTAAAACAGTGATTATGTGTTTGTCACACACAAAAGGAAGCCGTAGTAGTAATTTGGCTAGATATTCACCTGCCGGCCTGAAGATCTTGAGTTTAAATCCACACTGAGAAAATTGTCTATGAAAACTGACCTTTTCTCCCAAATTGAGCTGTCATAGAATGGATCCAAGGTAGTTTCTTGGGAAGCAAAGGTGATCACATTACCCACTGAGGGCTAAATGGTCTACAGCATGTTCTGTAAGTTTCCATACATTTCCGTACATAGGAAACGTAAACATATCACCAACACTGCTACTAGCATAACTTACACATGTTCTTTTATGTGTTCTTCAGCAGTGGAGGTCATGCATTGAAATGTGATTTCTGATCTATAGAAAGTCATGCATTGAAATGTGATTTCTGATCTAAAGAAAGTCATGCATTGAAATGTGATTTCTGATCTAAAGAAAGTCATGCATTGAAATGTTATTTCTGATCTAAAGAAAGTCATGCATTGAAATGTTATTTCTGATCTAAAGAAAGTCATGCATTGAAATGTGATTTCTGATCTAAAGAAAGTCATGCATTGAAAGAAAGTCGTGCATTGAAATGTGATTTCTGATTTATAGAAAGTCATGCATTGAAATGTGATTTCTGATTTATTGAGAGTCATGCATTGAAATGTGATTTCTGATTTACAGAAATTTATGGTGCCTCTTGTAAAGAACATGAGTCTAGGATTGTATGTCTGGTGAGCCGTTTGTGTATAAAAGATCCTTTACTTTTTATTTTATTACCTACACATAAAAACATTTTAAAAACTAAATGTCATACACAATGGCCTCGTTAGAATTCAGCAAGATCAGATACCATCACACATACTACATTTCATAAGATCAGCTACACAGGGGGATGGCTGCAAAAATTATGGATCGACTGACTGACTGACTTTCTACCCCACCAGGACATCACACAAGCGATAAACACCGGATGACATAATGTGCCACCATGGGGGTGAGGATCACCGTGGAGAGGTCCCAGAAACTGTGTTCAGCTTTTAAGCCATATTTATGGTCAGGCTATATTGCAGCCCCTGGCAAAAGCCAGAGTACGGCTTCAAATAACAAAAATTTTCATCCTAAAAAGGACAAAAAGTATAGTTATGGACCGACAACATTAGAGACACTTTACACCTTCACAGTATGATAATAGCCTGTGGCAGCCATCATGCACTTTATTGCAGATTATTCTTCTTAGCCATGCTTAATGGCAGAAGTGGTTCATGATGATGAGATGATGACTATGGACAGAAATATATACCCTACACTCACTACACAGTCATAACTAGCATCATACATTTATGGGAATGACTCAAAAGTTGGCCCAGAAAGAGAGTGCCTTTCCTTGCCATTCATCACTGGTCATCTCGTAGAGCCTGTCCTATGTTGTGGGGGTGTCATGCTTAGTGAGCATCCAGCAACACAAGTTATTTAATGCCGTGCTGTCATAGACTGCATGCAGTCATGGAACAAAGGCTGACGCTGTGGCATAGGGGGGTTTGGGTTAGGTCCAGTTCTACGTGTTTTGGGATCGTTAAAAGCACTCAGATATTGGAATATAGACCATACAATATTGCCGGCCGGTGACAACACAGCAAAAAATTCATTGTGTTGCTGGAAGCTCACTAAGCATGACAACCCCACAACAAAGCAAAGGCCCTACGACATGACCAGGGATAAATGGCAAGGGAAATAACTCTCTTTCTGGGCCCGAGTTCGGGAGTCGAACCCATTTATGACACGAATATTGCAGACAACACAATAACGAAATGATAGCCCTGTCTTCACCACACATTTGCCAAGTGAATATCCTGCCTAGGACATTAACTAAATGAGTTTTTTATGTAATTCATGTTTATCAACCTAAACTCCTTTATATCACACACTTAAAAACAAATGTCATTCATGGTGGACGTTTATTAGATAAGTGTCTTACATACATATCCAGACCATCTTAATTGCATTACTGACCTTTCAATTTGAGAAGATTGTGTACTGTTCTTGGAAGAAAGAAGCCAGAGCTTGTAAACAACAACAAACTAAATGTGATTTCCTAGCCTTCTTGTGAAAGAAAACTTGCCTGAAATATGCCATTAATTGGCATTTTTTATGACCTTTCACCTCTATCTCCACT